CAGGTTTGATGGCCCCGGCGACAGATTTTAGAGGGCAGGGGGAAAATTAGTAGCCAGTAAAATCGTAAAACACAATAGCAAGAAAAGTTTTAACAATAGATATAACCTTATGAAGATACACACAAACATACCAAGGCTACGTAAAAGTATTAAAAAAATACATTAAATATATTATTTTAGTAACTTTATATATAATAATCATAGACTTTTGCAGATTTTATACTTTTCAAGATATGTACTTCGAAAATGAAGTAAATTGTAAAATGCATGCATAGTTATAACTACAATTTTAGCGAGCGAAACCATTGATGGCGAGTATGTCACTCGCCTTTAATTTGCTGACGATGTAGTCATTATGACGAAATCGATGACGGGACCTCAGTACTATTCACAATCACCTAAATGGTGTCTCACAACGCATAAGTCTTAAAATAAACATGAACTCAAAGTTGTTTACAGTTGGATAAATCCAACTTCAACCGAGAAGTTCGGGAGATTACGACACATCTCATTACAATATAATATACCGCAAAACTTAAAAACAATAGTGTACAAGTACAACTAGAGCATGTTATCAGTGATGACATATTATGGACCTGAAAAGTGGCCCTTCACTGCTAGGCTCAGGAGGAAGTTTAAGGTTACTCAGCTATGGAGAAGGCTATGCTCGGAGTTCCTCTGCGCGATAGACTTCGTATTGAAGATATCCGCAAAATAACTAGAGTAATCGGCATAGCGCAACTGATGAGTATGCTAAGTGGCAATGGGTCGGCCATATAGTTCGAAGAACCAACAATTGATGTGAAATAAAGTTTCTAGAATGGCCGCCTCTTACCGGTAAGTGAAAATGTAGAGCGGCCCCTACTATAAAATGGAGTGATGACCTGGAAAGAGCTGCAGGAAATCGACGGATCTAGAAGGCTCAGAACAGTGCTTTGTGGAATTCTTTTCGGGAGGTCTATGTTCAACAGTGGACTTGTAAAGGGGCATAATGATGATGATGATAATGCTTCCTGTCGCTTAAATTGAATACCTGTCGTTGTTATTAAATTTTTAGTGCAGCCACTAAGCGGCCGTAAAGATGGGTGTCCCTCAGGGCTCTATTCTTGGCCCATTCCTATTTTTAGTGTATATTAATAACTTACCTTCCCTTGTAGGGGATAATCATGATATAGTATTATTTGTTGATGATACTTCCTTGATTTTTAAACTTAAACGTCTATCATTTAAATGTGACGAAGTGAATAATTCTATATCAAAATTAGAGCATTGGTTTAACGTTAATAGTCTGCATTTAAACGGCAATAAAACTAAATGTATTAAGTAATCATTCATATTGTAAAATTTATTTATTTTTAAAAAAGTCCCGCTGGGTGTCTTGCTGGTTTTTCCCAGAACAGAGAATTTTTTTCGAACCAGTGATAATGTAAAAAATGACTTTCAATAAGAATAACTTGTAATCAATATTGAATAAAAGTTATTCTATTCTATTCTATTATATTCTAAACGTTCAATAACCATCTGGCTGCGTTTTCTCGCTGAATGTAAAAATCATACCAATACTATTAAGTATTGCTATGTTTTTTAAGCGAGTTTTTTAGCCAGTCCTTTTATCTCCGGCGGCGACGACATGTTCTCGAATACTGTTCCTTTAGAAACTACAGCGCACTTGGATCCTAGGGACCGATAATCTTTTTAAGCACTAAAAATTGAATTAACAAAACATAGCTTATCTTCACGCACAATCCCTGACGGGGTAACCAGAGAGAACAGATCGCCAAGTGTCACGATCCTTACATACCTCTTTCGCTTCTTTCAGATTAATTATCTTCTTCATACATGCACGTCTAGGTATCCGAGTACTCTTGACCCTACCCTCTTCAAGCAATTTGCTCACATGGTCTTCGAAAGTTAGTCTCGGTCTACCTCGACACCTTTTAATATTAACTTTCGCGCTATATATTTTCTTCACCATTCGGTCTTCACTCATTCGCTCAACGTGCCCAAACCACCGAAGCACGCCCTTATCAATTTTTGTGATATGGTCATCTTTCAAACCTGCCATATTGCGAATCTCTTCGTTTCGCTTTCTGTCGGCCATGGTAACGCCGCACATTTTACGAAGAGATCGCATCTCCACTGCATTCAACTTGATTTTATGCTTCTTCTGGCATACCCAGGTTTCGCTGCCATATAACAAAGTCGGTACCAACACTGCGTTATGTATTGCAAGGCGTGCACTCTTCACTACGCCTTGCCTTTTGACTAACGCAGTCAGGGCACCATTGACTTTGTTCCCGGCAGCGACACACCTGTCCACATCTAAATCACATCTTCCATCCCGGCTAAAAGCACTCCCCAAGTATACAATTTCATTTACTTGTTCTAGACATTCCTGATTTACCCATATTTCACACTTCGTTCTCTCTTCGTCCCTTTCAAATACCAGAACCTTAGTTTTATTAGCGTTCAAACGGAGACCTTTAATTTCACATTCCTCTTTCACACACGTGACTAATGCCTGCAGTTCTGCATCTGATGGTGCAATAAGCACTGCATCATCAGCATACAGCAGACAATTTACTTTTATGTCACCCAATCTCACACCCAAACAGCTATCTTTCAGCTTTTGTAAACAGCTGTCGAGATACAGTATGAACAGCCAGGAAGTCATGACACAACCCTGTTTTACGCCCGTTTGGACGCTAAACATGGGTGACAGGTCATGCCCTACCCGCACACAGGCTTTACAGTCACAGTAAAGAGACTGCACAGCCCTTAGCAATCGACCATCCACACTATACCCCGGCAACAGTTCCCACATTTTCTTCCTTACAACCTTATCAAATGCTTTCTCAAGATCCACAAAAGCACAGAAAATCTTCTGGTTAGCAGCCAGAAGCTTTTCCATGATCATGCGGAGAGAAAACATTTGATCCCTGCATCCTATTCCAGGTCTAAATCCGCATTGTGCCTCCCATAGAAATCTTTCCGATTTCTCTTGCATCCTACGTGTCAAAACCTTCGAGTAAACTTTACTTGCTAAACTGGTCAAGCTGATCGCCCGATAGCACCCGCAGTCAAAATGTGAACCTTTACCTTTATATAAAGGCACAATGACTGCGGATCGCCAATCAGCCGGGACATGCCCCGTCCGCCAGCACAAATTGCACAGCAGATGAAAGCTGTCCCAGACGCGAGGCCCACCATACTTGACCATTTCAGTACAAAACATAAAAAATTGAAATATAAAATCGACCACGTGTTAAAACCTTTCTGAGGTAAATTTCATAATAATACCTAAAAAAAAATTCATAGTTAATACCCATCACCACATTTCATCATTTTGGTGTTGTAATCCTCCACCGATAGATGGTGGTACTACCTGTAGTACTGTCGTAGATAATAATGTAAACATTAACAGTAAATTACCATGTCGTGGTCATTTACTGTTAATGTTTACATTATTAAATACCTAGACCAGCGACAGCGACAGGAAGTAACTTCATAGGTACGTGGCATCTGCTGCTGCGATCCCTAAACGCGGTGATAAAGACAAATATTTCTATACTGAGAAACGCTGTTAAAGATGGAAAAAGAAAATTGTGTTAATTATTAAGTGTATGTAGCCATAGATTAGTAACTAAAGGGTAGCGGTAGCATTTTAAGAATTTTTTTAAAGATGAAAGCATTCCAGCCAGTGCTACAGTAAAAGAGAAAAAGGATATCAAAGAGTATTAATCATAGACAGATAAATATGTAGCAAGTTAGTAAAGGCCGGCCTCATACATACGGAATTCCGTTTCAAGATTCCGTTTCGATATTCCGATTCGAAATTCCGAACGCAGCCAGTCCATATAAAATCTATGACCCGCCACACACGTACGGTAAATATCCCTACGGAATTTTCTCCGATTTGAGATTCCGTATGACCGCTTGTGCGTTCGGAATCCGGAACGGAAAAAAGCCGCTCCGAACGCAAGTCTTCCATAGATTTTGTCTGAGTCTCAACACACATTCTTAAATTCCGTACGTAACGCGCTCAGTGTTCGTCACAGAGTACTTTTTATTTCGTCGCACGACCGAAGCGAGTAGGTGTGTTTATGTATGTTTTTACATTTAATCTTATATGTGAATAGCTTTTCGTAACCTTTCATCGTGTTTAATTTAATAATTCGTCAAGAGTTTATTTAAAAAATATCTCTGGATAGATACATCTTTTTACACAATATTGACTATATTGCAAGCTTAGAGTGATAAGGGGATGCACCTAGTAAGAACAATACAGCAACAATGGAATCGCAATCACAAATTCGTCGTCATTATTCGCTGGCAGAATGTCTAGATTCAATGGCTAACGTCTCTCAACTGACCCTTGAAATAAACGTATGTGTGTGACGCATTCACGGAATCCCAAATCGGAATATCGAAACGGAATCCCGAAACGAAATTCCGTATCATGTATGTGGCCGACCTTAATTTATGACATAGTGTTTTAGTCGTTATGATTCTGTTTCAAAATTCCATTTCCCTGCTTATTGATGAACAATTAAATATTTTAACTAAACTAAATTACGGCAACTACAAAATTTATAGTAATAAAAATCAATGTACATTAAAAATTTATTATTTTAATATTAGGATATTAAAATAATAAATTTAAGTAAATTTAAGTAAGAAATCTGAATAAAATATATTTCAAATTATGTATTTTTCTACGTAAAATACTTTACACAAGCTTGAAAAGGAACGTATGAAACATCAAGTGGAGACGTGTAGTAATGTGTTTATCCAATTATGAACCATCTGACTAAGGAATACAGCTTAAATTCGATAACTTATTACTACCAATGTTTCATAGTTTCGAAAGCAAAGCGAACTGAATGTGTGACGTGTCTTGTCATCATAATTTTATCGGTATCAGGCAAAAGAAAGTTATGCAAAATTATTAACAATTACTATATTTATGTGATATTTCATAGCAGTAAACATTCCTCACAATGTATTCAGTTTTAACAAGAGGAAACGCAATATTAACCTATACCTTAAGTGTGTTAGCATGTTTAACATTTTTGTGTTTTTTATCAACAATAACGGTGGATTATAGGACTACTGCACATATGAACGTTGTGAAAGTAGTTGTGTAAGTATACAACATAATAAAGCGTTAACATATGTGTGAAAGTTTACTGTAAATTATTGAGCAGAATAATTGTTCTAGCATATTAAAAAGTTTTAAATAATAGCGCTGCTATTTATAATTGCGTAACAAATTCGTTTATAAAACAAGATCTTTACATAAAAACTTGAATTTGAACTTCTTAAAACAGGAGATTATGTATTAACATTTTCCATACCAATCCCTTTTCAGAATATCTTACTTTTAAAATGGTCTTTTTTATAGGATTGACAAACGAGCACACAGTCCACCTGATGGTAAGTGATTGCTGTGACCCATAGACATCCACATCTATCCTCAATAAACAATCAAAATGCAGATGTGTTGTCACCAGTGAGGACTAAGATGATATGCATCTTTTCCAGTAAAAAAGGTCACCGGCTCTCTACACTCACCATGTTTTTTTACGTGGTAGCGCAATGCGGCACCTATATTAGTAGTATAGTTGTAGCATGAATGGGTTGGCTCGACTGGGGAAGGACCACGCTCTCACAGAATACCAGCGTAAAATAGCAGCTTAAAATTGCTGTGTTTCATATGTTGAGTGTAGAGAACCGGAGACCCTCTTTACTGGAAAAGAGGCATTCCATCTTAGTCCTCACGAGTGACAACACATCTGCATTTTGATTCTTTATTGAGGATAAATGTAGATGTCTGCCACAGCAACCACTTACCATGAGGTGGACTGTGTGCTCGTTTGTAACTCGATCCTATAAAAAAAAAGTAAAGATGATAATTATAACTTCATTTTTCAGTAAGAATGTTCCAGATTATGGTACCTCTAGAGAAAGAAATGATCTTGGTTTTTTGACATTTGATCTTAAGACAGATCTGTCACACCTGTTTAACTGGAATGTTAAGCAGTTGTTTTTGTACCTCACAGCTGAATATGTTACACCTAACAATGAACTCAACCAGGTTGTACTCTGGGACAAAATTATCTTAAGAGGAGAAAATGCTGTATTAGATTTCAAGAATATGAATACTAAATACTATTTCTGGGATGATGGAAATGGTTTAAAGTAAGTATTTAATGTTTTCACTGACTACCTCATTAGTCTAGTGCTTATAAGTGTGACTGCTGATCATGGGGTCCTAGGTTTGAATCCCGGGTCGGACCAAAATCAGTTATAACATTTTTCTGTCAAGAAATTCACAATAGATGCCCAGATTCAATAAGTTGGTCATAATAATAATAAATTCTTTATTTAATTCACAAAGTACTTTAACATAAGTGGTTAGAGCCTCCCTTTAAGCACAGAGCGCCTGTAGTTTTACACTTATGCCTCAGAGAGTACATAAAGCTATTGGTTCTGTACCTGATCTCTCACCAATCATGTTGGCTTGCTACCCTGTTGGACTATGAGGGAATAAATAGTGCAGCTGTGCTCCCAGATATACTTTGTCACTATAATATAGTACTGATGGCTAGTCTTCATTAAGACTGACCACTATGACTAAACTTTGGTCCGGAGAGCATTATTATTAGCCATAAGTTATAACCCTGTAAAAATGCATCAGCTCTTAGATTAAAAAAAAAAAGAATGATGTGAATCTTGAATGGCATCTATCCATGAATAATAAATACTTGTTAATTAATTAAATGTAATAGTAAATGTAAAGTAATGTAAGTAGTTTATGGAATATGATGAATTGGTGTCATCAATCAGCATGGTCCCCTAAGCTACACCTAAAAGATCACCTAAAAATCATATCACCTAGCAGTGCTTCAATAGTGCATAATCTGTACCCCATTGGGCTGTACCCTAGAAAAAGAAAAGTAGGCTACTAAATAATCCATACGATACATATAAATGCTAATAGGTAACTTTTTAGATGTAGAGTGGTTATTCTATGAAATGATATTTGATGCTATCAAACTGCTGAATCATCATTAAGTGTAAACAGAATTGCAAAACCTTACTAATGACAGATGTTAAAAACAATAGCTCAACATTTATGCTCAATGTTCATTTTATAGTAATTTTTATATTACAATAATATTATGAAATAAACTGCTAGTTTTTATTTATGAACCTTCACAACATTCAACAGTGTAATGTAGGATAGCAGTTTCACTTTTACTCTTCAGAAAATTGATGAAACATCTGATTATATGCTTGTAACATATATATTTCATTTCATTACATAGTTGATAATTAAACATTGATGATTATTGATAAATGATGGGTTTGACCTGGAATGACCACACTCAAACTTCTCAGTAGGAAATGACATAATATAAGGATATATGAATACAATTTTTACATATAAAAAATTGCTTTGGATATGCATATTCATAACTTGTCCACCAGTACTTTTCGTATTAAGTATGGATCTGTAACTTTTAATTTGCTAAATCACTAATACCTGCAATAAGTGACAATATCATGAGATTTGCCAAATTTGTATTGAGTTTTTATTTTCATGCTTACATATTTTTTTACCCCTGACGAAAAAGAGGAGTGTTATATGTTTAACATGTTTATAGGTGTATCTGTGTGTCTGTCTGGAACATTGTAGCTCCCAAACAGATGAACCGATTTAGATTTAGTTTATTTTGTTTGAAAGGTGACTTGATTGAGTATTCTTTGCTTTAATTCAAGACAATCTTTTCAGTCGTTTGAAGTTCATCAGCTCTTTTTTTCTCGGGGTTTTTTTTTAATTTTCAATTTAGTATTATATTTTATTCAATAGATTTAAGCAAACTTATGTTTTTTTTTTGTATTACAGGGGACATCAAAATGTCACACTAACACTTTCATGGAACATTATTCCAAATGCTGGTCTGCTTCCAAATATTCAGGCCATTGGTCAGCACTCCTTCAAATTCCCTACAGAATACACCCAAACAAGGGTATGATTCATGGTACAGTAAGAAGGGAAACTTTGTGTAGATGGTACTTATAAGATATTTAAGATCATCTAATATACTACTATATTTATATTGGTGTTTTATATTTTATTACCTTCCCTGTTATATCAATTTCTTAAAAAAATCAAGATGGTTCTTTTTACCAAAACAATGAAGTAAAAATAGATTATTATTTAAACAATACATCATATTAACATTATGAGAATATCTGCATGTCTGAGAATTTGAAACATTTAGAGAACATGTGAACATACAGATTGTATCATTGTAGTATACCCTGGTCCAGAAACCCTATCAGAAATGATAGGTGATCTGTGTCCAACTGTGGGACATAATATTATGTAGACTATTTCTTTACTTTGGGGACTGATAGGAATTTTCCAATTCAGACTATCCCCAAAATTATTGTCTTTTAATCAAATACATTAAAACGACTTGTGAGTACATGAAAAAATTAACTATGGCAAAATAAAACTCAGTTGTCATAGGTCTTATCACATTATCATCATCATCATTACAGCCTTTCATAAGTCCACTGCTGAACATAGGCCTCCCCCAAGGAATGCCACAAACCACGGTCCTGAGCCACCTGCATCCATCGACTTCCTGCATGTCTTACCAGGTCGTCACTCCATCTTGTGGGGGGTCACAATACACTTCGCCTACCGGTACGAGGTTGCCACTCAAGAACCTTTCTTACCCATCGGTTGCCGGTTCTTCGAGCTATATGGCCGGCCCACTGCCACTTCAGCTTACTAATCCGTTGGGCTATGACGGTTACTCTAGTTCTACTGCGGATATACTCATTTCTAAGTTTATCACGCAGAGAAACCCTGAACGTAGCCCTCTCCATAGCTCGCTGAGCGACCTTGACCTTATCACATTATATTTTTCTTTAAATGAAACAGTTCTTTGTTCAGAACTTATCTAATATTGGTTACAGTTCAAGGAATAAGTACTAAGTAGCGTATTTGTCACAGATCATTTTATGTAATGCTCATATTATCATATTGAAACCTAACCATTTATTATAAATAATAATAAACAAAATATAAGGTGCGTTGGGGTAACTTTTGTATTTCTTATTTCTCTACAAGACTGTATAACATATTCACATTTACGAATAAATAAGTTAAGAAAATTTTCATTACCGTCACTAGAAAGTTCCTTAAGAATCTGTGTTATAGGCATTTTTATTAAAGTATATTTATAATTAGTTTAATTTAATAATAATATTAAATTAAATTTATAATAAATAAAAATATATTAAATTATATTATATATTAAAAATATATTATATATATTAAATAAAAATTGATGTGTAGTGGCGGTTAAGAATATCCACCACCCCATATCTTCCCGCGGGTGTCGTAAAACGCAACAAAGGGAAACAGGCAGGAGATGGTCAGCAGCATCTTCCTGATAATAGCAAAAATACAATAAAAAAACTGCGGTTGCCAACCCTCTCGCCTAGCGTGGCAACTATGGCAAATATCTCATCCCATGATGAGAGCAACAAAGAGACGGCCCCCAGTTCCCCCAACGTGTGTCTCCAACGATGACGTGTGCTACCCATAGAAACTCTCAATCGCACTCAAAATCTCAAGTATCCCGGAGACGATGCTTCCACATTCGGTCTTCAGCTTCGACAGTTGGCTCTTTCTGGCAGACAGATCTCTGGCAAAGGCATCTTAGCCCTGGTTATGCCCATTCGCTTCTTCAATACGAGCTGTATCTATTGAAGTTGCGTAAGTCCCGCTACACGCATTTGGAAATCTGCTGAAGGCTACAACTTCATTTCCTGTCTAACAGCCAGGAGATTTAAAGTGTGATCGGGAAGTTTTTGTGGTCTTCTGCGACGGGTCTAGCAAAACTCAGCTCTGACCGCATGGACAGTTTCCACGAGCTTGTCATTAATATCGTCCACTTCAGGCACTGAAAACGATTTTGTAACTCAATCTGAAAGTTTTCGGGGATTTGGTTTAGAGCACGAGGGGGACGGAACGTTGGCTTCATTAGATGTGACCTCTCCAGCTTACTGCTATTTAGGTTCAGTGTGCTCCTCATCATTCGGTAATCGCTGCCATTTTTCCCTCGCAATCACTGAGTCATCATTGAACAGTTGCCGTCTAGTCGTCGTAATAAGTCAATCTCATTTTTATCGAACCGTCGGGGGTCGACCAGGTCCACTTTCTGTGAGGCCGCTTCTGAAAGAAAGATTTCATCATAAAGACCCTCTTTCTCCATGAAGTTGGCCATTTGAGTTCCCTTGTCCTATCCCGAATTTACCTATCTTCAGCTCATTGTTCTCTCTTGTGCCTAGTTTTGCGTTGAAGTCTCCCATTAACACCGTAAAGTGGGTTTTGGAGAAATGCATGGCTCTGGATATATCCTCATACATTTCATCCACCTCCTCGTCAGAATGTGCTGAGGTTGGTGTGTAAATCTATATGACCTTCAGCGAATACCGTTTAGTGATTCTGAGTATAAAGCACGCAACCCTCGTCGACACACTCCCAATCTTTTCAACGTTGTTAACGACAGACTTGTGGACGATAAATCAAGACACCTCCTTGGGACAGATGATCGCCCTACTGGTGATAGAACAAGTTACCGGATTCGAGGATTACCTTGTCCCCTCCTCTCTCTTCGGACCTCAGATAAACCTATAATATCCCAGCGCAAATTGTCTATCTCTTCTAACAATCGGCAATAATCAGGGTAAGTGCGTTACGAGGGCGGCACTGAAAATTTCGGGAATCAAGGAGGTGACACAACATTACTATTTAAAAATGTATTTATTGCAAGAGGAAAGGATGTGACACCACGGTTCATGGCCCCTATACGGCATACTGGTCGGGAGTCCCCCAAACCAGCCGAGGCTGTCAGGGAGTTGGTGTGATTCTTTCATCTCGAATGGTTGAATGTGTGATGGAGCATGAATGTATAAGCCCAAGACTCCTCTGGATTAGGTTAAAAGTCGGACTCACTCGCTTGTTTATCCTTGGGGTCTATGCACCGACGGATCTGCGTGGAGGTGGGTCATTAAAAACACAACAAGAGAGAGAGGAATTTTGGGATAGCATGAGAGAGGTCTTGAATAAATGCGGAGAAAATAAACGGATCGTGATGTTAGGGGACTTTAATGGATGGGTTGGAGTAAAGCGTGATGGGTATGAAGGAGTTCTGGGTACGTTTGGGGACGAGAGAGTGAATGACAATGGGAGAAGCCTGCTTGAAGTATGCTTGGAATGGAATCTGTGCTTGGCCAACACAATGTTTGACCACAAAAAGATCCATTTGTATACAAGAGATGAGGGTGAGTCTAGAAGTGTGATTGATTTTGTAATTGTGGATGAAAGACTGAGGAAGAAAGTACTAGACACTCGGGCATACCGCGGTGTAGGCCTCGACACAGACCACTTCCTGGTCATAGCCCGAATGCGTGGCCTCTTTAAACGGTGGCGACACCGAGTGGCCGAGCCTACGAGTGTTTTGGACAGAGTAAAAGTGGAAAATCTACAAGAAAAAGAAAAGAAAGACGAGTATGTAGAGAAACTGAAAGAAAGTTTTAAAGGGATAGAAGAGATAGGAGTGATTGAAGATTTGTGGGAGACATTTAAGGAAGGGGTCGTAAATGTTGCTATTGAGGTATGCGGGGTAGCTAAAAGAAGGAAAGGAAGAAAGAATGATAACGTGTGGATGGATAAAGATGTACAAAAGGTTGTGCAAGAAAAGAAGAAATCGTGGTTGGATTGGTTAGCAACAAAAGCTAACCAAAAAGTTCAAAAGGCAACGGATGACGAGATAAAGGAAGCAAGAACGAAGTATAAAAGATTGAAAACAGCAGCGAAAGAAATTGTGTCTAGAAAGAAAGAAGAACGAAAGGATGATTTCGATAGGAGGCTCACTGAAGATTTCCAGTCAAACATTAAGTTTTTCTGGAAAACCATCAAAGCAGCCAGAGGAAAAACTTCTACCTCGGAGCTGAGTACAATCAGGAGTCAAGATGGGAGCATTATAAAAGGAGAAGAATGTGTGTTAAAGAGATGGAAAGAGTATTTTGAAAGTTTGTTTGAAAGAGAGGAAGTGCAGGTACAGCATCCAGCACCTTCCACGGAAACTAATATAAATGTTGATGAAAATGAGATAAGCATGGATGAAATAGTGAAAGCGTTGAAAAGTATGAGATTAGGTAAGGCTGCAGGGTATGACAGGATTACCGTCGAGATGCTGAGGGCTGGACAGGGCCTGGTGGCTAGTCAGCTGTACCGCCTTTTCAATCTGTGCTGACGAAATGGACAAGTACAAGTACCGGGAGACTGGTGCAAAGCCGTAATCGTGCCATTGTATAAGGGAAAAGGGTCACGGCAGGACTGCATAAATTACCGCGGTATAAGCCTTCTCAGCGTCGTCGGTAAATTGTATGCGAAAGTGTTAATTGAAAGGATTGTGAATGAAACAGACAAGAAAGTATGGGATGCACAAGCGGGATTTAGAAAGGGAATGGGATGTACGGATCAGGTCTTTTCCTTGCGGTGCATAGCCGAAAAGTATTTGGCTAAAAACAAGAAAGTCTACTGCGCGTTCGTAGATCTAGAAAAGGCCTATGATAGAGTGGTGAGGAATGAATTGTGGTCAGCACTGTCCGTGAACGGTGTGAGCAGTATCCTCATACGAGCAATGCAATCTCTTTATAGGGATTCTAGTGCTTGTGTAAGGATAAACGGGGCATACACTGAATGTTTTAATATCGAAAAAGGTGTTAGACAGGGATGTGTAGCGTCACCGTGGCTGTTTAATCTGTTCATGGACAATTGTTTGACAGATTTAAAAGAGAATGAAAGTGGGTTGAGAATGAATGAGTTACTCGTCAAATGTTTTCTCTATGCTGATGACCAAGTATTACTTGCGTCTTCGGCCGAGGAGTTGCAGGAGATGGTAACTGCTATGAGTGGAGCTTTTGTTAGAAAGGGAATGAAGATGAA